CGACTTTAATTTGGTAAGATCTCATGACGATTATCAAGGAGTTAGAAGAAATTCAGATTTGATGCGTAGCTTCAATGATTTTATTGATGAAAATGAATTGCTGGATCTCCCTATCAGTGGATGTCGATATACTTGGAGTCTTGGTGATAATAGCAGTTCTCAGTCTCGTATTGATAGAATCCTGATCTCCCATGAGTTCGACGCTCTTCATGCAGATTGTAGATTGATGGGGCTTGACAAAGTTGAGTCTGATCACTCGCCGCTGCTCCTCCAGTGGGGTGGCAACAGAAGAATCAAGCGCCCTTGGAGGTTCGAGAATATGTGGCTCGAAGACGATCGTTTCTATTCTAGCTTATCTGTATGGTACATGAATCCAATTGCAGGAAATGGAGCGGTTTTCAGATTGATTATGAGGCTGAAAAATCTGAAGCAGAATATCAAGCAGTGGAACAGAGAAGTATTTGGGAACATTCATACCAGAGTTGACAACTTACTCAAAGATATTTCGGAGCTCAGTCTGGTTAAGGAAACTCGGCTTTTGACGGAAGGGGAAGTAGCTGACCTTGCAAATATGAAATTGGATTTAAGTCAAGCTCTTTTCCTTCAGGAAATCTGCTGGAGACAGAAATCCAGAGAAGTTTGGCTAAAGTTTGGAGACCAAAACACAAATTTTTTTCACAGAATGGCAAATTTCAGAAAGAAAATCAACTTCATCTGGAGGATAAATATCAATGGAGTTATGGTTGAAGACTGCGATGAAATAGCTGCTGGCATTGTGAGTTATTACAAGAATCTCTTCCTGGAGAGCGTTCAGCATCGTCCCTTCCCGCGGAACTATGGCTCTAAAATTCTGAGTTCCTCTGATTCGGCATCCCTTGAAATTCCTTTCTCTGAAAAGGAAATATGGGATTGCCTTTCGAGCAGCGATGGTTCTAAGGCCCCTGGGCCGGACGGATTTACTTTTGATTTCTTTAAAAAGTGCTGGGGCTCAGTCAAAGAGGATTTAATGAGTGCTTTCATGGAGTTCCATGAGACTGGATCTCTTCCAAACTGTGCAACACACTCCTTCATATGCTTGGTTCCTAAGAAAGATGCTACGGAAGAAATAAAAGACCTCCGCCCTATCGGCCTAATGGGATGTGTGAACAAGCTCATTTGCAAGGTTCTTTCTAAAAGGTTAGGTCAAGTTCTCCCGAAGCTTGTTTCTGATTTCCAACAGGCTGCTGTCCAAGGTAAACAGATTGCGGAGGCTGGTCTACTTGCAAATGAATTGGTGGAAAGTAGAAGAAAGAGCAGAAAACCAGGGTTAATGCTTAAACTGGATATCGAAAAGGCCTTCGATAACGTGAATTGGAGCTGCCTCTTTAAAATCCTTTCGAGGCTGGGTTTCGGGGGAAAATGGAAGAGTTGGATCCACAGTGCGGTTTGTTCTCCTACCCTCTCTGTTTTAATTAATGGCGAGTCCAAGGACTTTTTCCCAGCTCAGAAAGGTTTAAGGCAGGGCGATCCGATGTCCCCGGGCCTCTTCGTTCTTGTTATGGACGTTTTGTCTTTCATGCTGACTAAACTTAAAGAAGAAAGGAAGATCGAAGGTTTCTATATGGACGAGGAAAGACAGAGAGGGGAAGTCACACATCTTTTGTTCGCTGACGACACCCTCATTTTCTGTGACGCATCTCATGAGCAAATTCTTCACATTTCAGCCACCCTCGCCTGCTTTCAGACCGTAACCGGTTTGAAAATTAACTTGGATAAAACAGTTCTATACACAGTGGGAGACGTTCCAGAACCGGAGTTTTTTGCCGATATTGTTGGATGCAATTGGAGCTCTAATCCTCCTAAATACCTTGGTTATCCGCTTGGGGCGAAGCTGAATAATAGAAGTTTCTGGGACTCGATTGTCAATAACTACCAGAAGAGGCTGCAAAGATGGAGCAACAGACACCTATCCATGGGGGGAAGGCTGATTTTACTTAAGTCTGTCCTGACAAGCCTTACAACATATTATTTTTCACTGTTTAAAGCTCCCAAAGGTGTGATCTCTTCTCTGGAAAAAATGCAAAGGGATTTTCTTTGGAGTGGGGTTGGGGATAAGAGGAAAATCCCCCTTGTGGAATGGAAGTTGTGCAAAGTGCAGAAAGACAGAGGAGGGCTGGGTATAATGGATCTTGCTTCTTTCAACAGCGCTTTGCTTTGCAAGTGGATCTGGAAATACGCAAGTGAAAGAGACAAATGGTGGAGGTCCTTGATCGAGATTAAGTACTCGAATGGAAGCTCGCAGTGGCAAACAAATTGTAGCAGCAGGGGTCGTGGCAGTTCGGTGTGGGTGAACATCATGAGAGATTGTGAACTCTTCTGGAGATATGCCTATATTGATCCAGGAAACGGCACTGATGTCTCCTTTTGGTTAGACCGGTGGATACCAAACCTTACCCTCGCGGAGGCCTTTCCAAGGGTTTATGCCGCTGCCTCAAATCCAGAAGCTAAGATCAGCGACGTCGTGGAACTCTCAGGTGACAATTTAATTATTAATTTAGATATTAATGTTAGGCTGAGAGGAGGGGCTGATTTGGAGAGGCTGAATTTACTTTCTACCGTTAACTCTTTTGATTTCAAGTCTAAATCTAACAGTCCCTGCAGAATTGTGTGGCAGCCTAACCCGGATACGGGCTTTTCAGTGAATTCTATGTACAGGGCGGTCTCTGTGGTTAGCGCTATTAGGGTGCCCAATTTCCCCTCGAAATCGGTTTGGAGGAAGATCGTTCCAGAAAAGATTTGTGTGTTTGTGTGGACAGCTGTGCATAAGAGAGTTTTGACGCTTGATCACCTTCAAAAGCGGGGATTTAAGCTTGCTAACCGCTGTGAGCTTTGCTGCAAGGAAGAGGAGTCTGTCGATCATTTGCTGTTTGGATGCAGCTTTTCCAGACAAGTGTGGAATGTGATCCAGAAGGGCTGCAAATTTTCTAATCTGTCTGCGGGAGATAATCTCATATCGTGGATTGAGAACTGGCCTGCTGCTATTCCTAGCAACTTGGAGGGCTGGGTTCATTATTGCGCTCTCCATGGCGTCTCTTGGTTCATTTGGCTTGAGCGCAACCAGAGGGTTTTCCATAATGTTTCTTCCAGGCCGGAGCGGATTGCTGTCAGATCAATCAAAAACATCACTAGGTGGATCGTCGCCAAAGGCAAAGCTGATCGAAGCCTGGTTGTAGCTTGGCTTCAAGGCTTTCTTCACCAGATCAGATAGCTTGTCGGTTTGAGTTTGAAGCCTGTTACTCCTTTTGTTGATGGCTGGGGCAGGTGCTTTTCTTCGCGCTTTTCCTTTGGGATCAGTGTTGCCGAGGTGTCCTTTGCGTTTGTTTTGGCAGGTGTTTTCTTGCTGCTCGACCTCGCTTGGGAGCATTTTTTGCTTGGTTCTTTTGTTGCTGTGTTTAGTGCTGTAATCTTTTGGGTGTGCTAGGCCATGTCATCGGGCCTTCTGCTGGTCTTAGCTTTGTCTATTTTTTTTCCTTTTCTTTTTCTTTTTTCCTTTGGTCGCACTCCTGGTGCGCTTGTATCAAACTCTTTTCGTTTCCTCTCAATCAATTCATCACCTTCATCAAAAAAAAAAAAAAAAATGAGTAAAATATCAACCTTTGATATTTAGTTTAACATATACTCAATTTTCTTAAACACTAAAGAATCATTGAAGAATGAGATCACCTCATCATGATGTAATTAATAATTAAACTATTATGTGTAAATGCGGAGAAAGAGTGGATTTAAGTGTATATATATTAATTAGTATTTTCCATTTGAAAATTTTCATTTGACTTTGACAAAAACATCCAATTTTCCATTCATGAATGATTAGTATGTTTTCCTCATTTACAAGACTTCAAATTTGACATTCACCAAATCACATTACTCCCTGGAAAGAAAAATACCAAATTCAATTCATCCCCTTTTGTGGTGGTTCAACTTCAAACCCACTCACCTTCTCCCTTGCCCCTGCCAAAAGGTGAATCCAGTTTGTACACCCAACCTCAACTAAATTGTTTGCTAATAAATCAATATAGTAAAATTAACAAGATGAATATACGCAATTGAAAAAAAAAATGCTTTTAGACGACATCTAATTATTTACCAAGTTAAAATATATCAAACTTATTCAAATTTAAATAGTACTTTGCTTAAAATCTTAACTAAGGTGGATAGATCCTCTACATCATTCATCTAAAAAAATATCTTGACCAAGAACCTCATCATAATATGGTTATTGGCTAGTAATATCTTACAAAGAATACAATTCACTATTTACCAAAACTTCCCCCACTCTTCAACCCACCAAATTAATTTTCAAAAGTCCACTTTTTGCTCACATAAATTCAAAAACCCACAATACATCCAAATTGGGTCAATTTTCACTATTCCCCCTCCCCCTCCAATTCACCACCCATCACAATCCCTTGCAAAAAAAAAAAAAAAGCCCCCTAAACCTTATCCATCAATCTCCAAAAACAGAACTAAAAATATTTTGCCCACCCGTACACTCTCCTCAACCAAACACAATTTCTACCCACATGACACTTGTCGCCATACCCACTTCGCCATGTCACCATTTGCCGTATCAGCTGCTCCAAGCCATCCACCTCCCACCAATATTTGGCCACGTTCTTTCACTTCGATCCTTCTAACCCAGTTGTCAAACTCATTTCTTCTTCCCTTTCTTCCTTCTCTCATAATAGCAAGCAAGCAAAAGGGAAGGATGCATGAATAATAGTGATCCAATACAATGAAGAGTACAAACAAAAAACCCAACTAACCAATCAAACTACCTTCTCCTGTTCTCCATTTTCCCTTTTCTTCTTACTTGAGATGGTGGCCTTATAAATACAGAGTATAACGGCTCATCACTTTCGTAACAAACTCTCCCCCAAAAAAGATTGAAACTTTCACTCATTCATTCATTCATTCTTCCTTTCCATTTCCTTTCTTTTCTCTCTGCAAACCCAAAAGAGATGAGCTGGAGCAGAGGTCGCGAACTTGGCCACGGCGCCACCGCCACCGTCTATCTAGCAACCGACCACCGCTCCGGCGAGCGGTACGCTGTCAAGTCAGCAGGGGCTTCCCAATCGGAGTTCCTAAAACGAGAACAGAGGATTCTGTCTTCAGTCAGCTCTCCTTATGTAATTGGATACAGGGGATGGGAAATTACGGCAGAGGACGACAGAATTGTGTACAATTTGAAGCTCGAGTACATGCCCGGCGGTACAATTATCGATGAGATTCGACGCCGCTGCTGTGGCGGAGGCCGGATGGAAGAATCGGCGATTGGGTTGTACGCGTGGCAGGTTGTGAAGGGACTTGAGTATCTGCATTCCAACGGGTTCGCGCATTGCGATGTGAAATGTCGGAACATTTTGGTCGGAGTCGATGGGTCGGCGGCCAAGCTGGCGGATTTCGGGTGCGCCAAGCGGGTCGGGTCTTCGGGTACAATTGGCGGGACGCCCATGTTTATGGCGCCGGAAACAGCGCGCGGGGAGGAACAGGGGTTCGCCGGCGACGTTTGGGGGTTGGGGTGCGCGGTCATCGAAATGGCGACCGGCGGCGGGTCGCCGTGGCCGGAGAGTGATCACGAAGATCCCGTTTCGGCAATTTACCGGGTGGGTTACTCCGGCCGGGTTCCGGATTTCCCGGGTTGGTTGTCGGAGCAAGCAAAGGATTTCTTGGACAAGTGTTTGAGGAGGGATCCGAAACAGAGGTGGACGGCGAGTCAGCTGTTGAAGCATCCGTTTCTGGTAGAATTCGAATTGGCCGGTGATCTTCCCGCCGGAAAGCCTTGTTTTGATTCTCCTACGAGCATTCTGGATAAAGGGTTCTGGAATTCGGTGGGGATTGTTGATTCTGACGAAGCCACCGAGTCGCCTTGTTCCTCTTCCTCATCACCGTCGGAAAAAGAAGTAGAGGAGGAAGCCAGAGAGAGGATCGGGCGGCTGGCGACGGCGGGACCCAGCTGGGAATTTTGTGATGGTGGCGATGATCTTGACCGTTGGATCACAGTTCGGGGAGATGATTGCAATTGCAGTGTAGCAGGGGAAGATGGAAGGGGTGGTGAAGGGGATTTGTTGACGTCATCAGGAAGTAAGAATGATTATTTTGATGTAATTAATAGAATTGATGAGGGTTTTAGTTTGGAAAGGTGTAAATATGGGGAGTTTGGTAGTTTGGTAGTTAGTTGTAATTTGCAGTGTGATATTGAGAGGAGGGAGAAGAGGCAAGAAGGTGAAGATGTACTATTGTTACTCCCCCCTGTTTCTAGATTAGTTTCACAAGCTTGAAAAAAAAAATCACTCTCTTTTGACTCCCATTCTTCTTTCCTTTCCATTTAGTCATATATATGAAAGTCGCGACAATCTCGAAGCTAGTAAATATATAAATATGTACAATTAGTTTATATATAATAAAAATTCGAGTAAAACTAAACTAAATTGTAACAATCAATATAACTTTGAATCGTTTATACGTATGATCAACTAGTCGAAATGAGATTTGGTATGAGGGGTATTGGGCAGGTGGGGGTTAGGATTTGGTATTAGGTTGAACTAGGAGGCAGGATTCCATAAAATTTGCAGTTTTGCCACAAACCCAACTGATCTTCGGCCAAACAAGAGATATCTATAGAGATATGGACCAGAATGAGGGGCCAGTTTGGCCAAATGTGTGATAAGTTACTGTTCCTAAAGGCCCATCCTGCTTCCCACTAGCCCTTTGGAAATGGCAGGTGAAGGTTTTAGACCAAACACAAGAAGGTGGTGCTGCTGGCTTACTTATGCAACCGCCACACAAAACCACCACCACCACACACAAAGAAAGAAAGAAAGAAAAAACCCCAGCAGTTTGGTTTGGTAGGTAAAGTGGGAAATTGTTTGGGGATTTCAATTGAATTCCTTTTAGTGCCAATTGGTGTGTAGCCACTGTTCACTTGAGTTTCTAACTCATTCTTCAACCATCACTTACAACGTTTGGTATAATAAATGAATTCAATAAGTTTTGAGAAATTCATACCAAATATAATCTTCTTTTATGTTTAATATATAAAAAATTCATTTTCAATTCTAAAGATTGAATTCTACGGAATTGGAACTAGTTGTAGCAATTATGAGGAATTGAGATAGAATTTTCAAATAAATTCCATAAATATTTTACTAATTATGATAAAATGACATAGTATCCCTAATTATTAATTAAATTAATTACCTGTATATTAGTTTGGTGCTAGTAAACAATTTTGCGCGCGTACTTAATTTCTTCAACTGGGAATATTAAACCTTATATATACAGCTTTGTGGTTATAACTAAACCCTACATCCATCGGCGACTCCAATTTTCCAAGCTGCCAGCTGCGCAACTCCCTCCTTCAATTCTATATCAATCAAGCCACCGATAAGGTTATCTTTATTTATTATCTGATTTCCTTTTGCGGTTTTTAGATGGGCGTTGTTTCTATTACATGTACAAATTCAAAGCTATTTTATATCTACACATAAAGCTGCTGGACGTTATAATGAGATTAGGTTTATATATAATAGGTGGAGATGCCACGTCTCGTCGTAGAACGGAGATGGTATATAGGCATGTATTATGTGGTCCGATATGATATTTTGTTAGTATTATTAGTCTAAAATTATTTTTTCATTAGCAGTTTTGTTAGTAATATTGACTTGACAATATAATATTGAATAAGAAGAGATATATGGCGATCAACATCCAATTTAATTAATTTTTTTAAATTTTGGCTAGTAAATGATATTTACCTAAACCCAAGTAGACCCATTGATTATGGGTGGGGTATGGATGACGTATATATGAGTTTGGAAGTTTGTATTCTTTTTGTTTCTCTCTAGAGTTTTTCTTTTTCAACCGGGCTAGAATTTTCTACAAATATACATGAAATGTATAGTTAGATATCTACACATATAAAATCCCATAGTGAAAAATGAAGACTTTCTAATAAGTAATACCATATATATTTATTTTTAATTGGGCTCGACATTGAGCTGAAAAAAGTTAATGGTTCATAGTTCAATTATTAGTTCTCTGCTACGGCTGTGGGTTCTTGGGTTTGGAAGCACATTCTAAAGCTTAGAACTATTGCTCGTGACTTCATTACAGGGTCCTCTGATTCTTTAGAGTGGGATGGTGTTTGTATGCCACGTTATGCAGTAACTAAAGTGTGGAGAATTATTAGGGGGGCTCAACCTCAGGTTAGCTGGGCAGATCTGGTTTGGGGGAAGTTGGTCATCCCCAAATACAGTGTCTTGACCTGGATGATTACTCAGAATAAGATCACTACTGCTGACAAGTTAATCAAGTGAGGGAGGGATCTCCAGGGCTGGTGTGTGCTGTGTGTAGGTGGATTGGATTGCCGTGATAATTTGTTTGGAGACTGTCTGTTTTCCTCTTCATCTTGCAGGCTGTCTTCTCGGAGGCTCCTCCATTAGCGTTTGTTGACTGGAACTCCACGTTGAGATGGGCTCTTGGGAAGTGGAAGGGGACCTCGAAACGTAAGAAAGTTGACAGGCTGCTGCAGCAGATGGTATGGAGATGGTGGCATCTGCTCCCTCTATTGTATTGTGTCCCAGATTCGGTTTGAAATTCATTGTATAGGGTTAGCAATCCACAGGTAGTTCCTATTACAGATAGCTTTTTCCCAGCTTATAGAGGTTGATAGTTTGAGCAGCAACAGTATAGATAAAAATGTAAAACCTGGTCTGATTTCAGAGGATCCCACGTTTTGGGACATCCTGGGGCTTAATGATAATTTTTTTATTTTCGTAAAAAAAATTATTAGTTCTCTAGACTGTTGGTGAGTCGTGTATGGACCTGTTCATACTTGTGATTAGAATACATAAAAATAGTATACTAATTAGGGTTAGACGAATAAGACAAAGAAAGAAATAAAGAAAGGGTTATGGAAGGCCCGTGAAAATTAAAACGAAAAGGAAGTAGATGGAAATTTTTTGACCAATTCTTTTAGTTGACCGTCAATACAACAGTCAACCATTTTCACCGTAGCAATTTATTGACACTTGCTATTGTAGATGTCGCATATTTTGTTACATGTAGTTAGTAGAAGTTTGTTTAGCGCCCCATAAATGTAATAAATGAGTTTATAAATTTTCTCTTGCAATATTTTAGAGTCGTATCTCTTTTATCATTTATTTAATGTTTCACGTAACGAGCAAATATAAAATGGTCGAATCTTCTCCTACAGTTGAGTGATACAACATCTTGTACAAACTAAATTTATAGTTTTATGTTATGGTGGATTGAATTCATGGATTGGTTCAAAAGGATTGGTGGATTGGATTCATGGATTCAAGTGAAATCTAAACGTAGGACCAATATGTAAACTTAAAAAATTGTAGTTACGAAAATCTCATACATTTTAGATACCAAACATAATTGTTCAATGATTTGACACTAAAATTAAATTTGGAGTATCAAAATATAAAATTTAGATTATAGTGACTAAGTTGTGATTTAATTAAATTTGAGGTATCAAAATGTAAAATGTTAGCCAACAGTAACCTAACTTCAGTTTTATAAATACTAACTAGATAGGTGGTGGCCGAGCTCCGCAACGGCCTGAAGTTGGTTTTATTATCTTTGGTGGCGGCGGTCAACATCCAATTTAAAATTTTTTGTTATTAAATTATATTTACCTAAATTTAAGTAGATCTATTGATTATGTGGTAGGGTATGAGTGACGTATATATGTGTTTGGAAGTTTGTAGATGGGTTTGGATACGGTATGAATATTTTCATTCATAATCTAAATGTGTATGTGTTGGGTACGGATACCCATTTATTCGAGGGTGTTTTAATTACACATACAAAAATTAGACCTATTTGTAGAACTTCAAAAGTTCATGTACTAAAATGTAATACACAAAAAATTTAGCTACTAAAATGTAATGTTTCATCAATATTTTGAAGACTTATATGCTAAAAAAATAAATCTAGGTTATACAAACTGGAACTCGTTTAAAATTTCTTTTTTTTATAAGGAAATTCGTTCAAAATTTCACGTCTTCAAATCCCATAGTGAAAAATGACGTTTGTCTAAAAAGTAATAACCATATATATTAATTTTTAATTGGACTCGACATTAAGCTGAAAAATTTAGTTGTTTATGGTTCAATTATTAATTCTCTAGACTGTTGGTCAGTCGTGCATGGACTCGTTCATAGTTGTGATTAGAATACATAAAAATAATATATACTAATTAGGGTTAGACGAAGAAGACAAAGAAAGAAATAAAGAAAAGGGTTATGGAAGGCGAGTGAAAAATGAAATGAAGAGTAAATAGATGATGGAAAGGTTTTGACCAATTCTTTTAGTTAGCCGTCAATACAACAGTCAACCATTTTCATCGTAGCAATTTATTGACACTTGCTTATGTTGATGTCGCATTTTTTTGTTACATGTAGTTAGTAGAAGTTTGTTTAGTATCCCGTAAATGTACTAAATGAGTGTATAAATTGGCTTTTGCAATATTTTAGAATCGTCTATCTTTTATCATTTATTTAATGTTTCACGTAATGAGCAAATATAAATTGTTCGAATATTCTCATACAATTGAGTGATACAACATATTGTATGATACAAACTAAATTTTTACTTTTATGTTATGGTGGCTTGGATTCATTGATTGGTTCAAAAGGATTGGTAGATTGGATTCATGGATTCAAGTGAAAGCTAAACATTGAACTAATATGTAAATGTAAAAAATTATAGGTACGAAAATCTCATAAAATTTAGATACCAAAACATAATCATTCAATGATTTTACATTAAAATTAAATATGGGGTATCAAAATGTAAAATGTACATTATAGTGACTAAGTTGTAATTTAATTAAATTTGGGGTATCAAAATATAATAATTTAGGCAACAGTAAACCTACTTCACCTTTATAGGGTATCAAAATGTAAAATGTACTAAGTTATAATTTATTTAAATTTAGGGTATCAGAATATAATAATTTAGGCAACAAATTATAGCTAAAAATTTGCAATGGAACCTGCACACATCCATACTCATTATTGGAATAAAACAACCATGTCATGGAATAATATTTACTCGTTTACTATATCTCATTTGGATTACTGATCCTCCATAATGTGAGTTATATATTATTTCGATTTGATGGAAATTAAGAAGTGCGTAGTTAGAAACTTTTAATTGAATTCAATTTCCAATGTAGCTAAACATGATTTGAGAATTCAATTTATTTTATTTCTAAATATTTGAACATGACATACCAAACATAAGA